GTAGCAGACAATGTTGTGACAGTTGTTGTGACAGTTTACGGAGTCTTGCTGGACCCTTGTAGAAACTAACCGAAATCAATGTCGGGACAGTTTACAGAGTCTTGTCGGACCCATAAAGGAGCTAACCGGAATCAATGTCGGGACAGTTTACAAAGTCTTGTCGGACCCATAAAGGAGCTAACCGGAATCAATGTCGAGACAGTTTACAGAGTCTTGTCGGACCCCTAAAAAAGTCGCACCCAGTTTACGGAGTCTTGCTGGACCCTTGTAGAAACTAACCGGAATCTATGTCGGGACAGTTTACAGAGTCTTGTCGGACCCCTAAAAAGTCGCACCCTCAAAAGGTGTGCCCAATCGGTCAAAAAGGCGTGCCATCAAAAGGCGTGCCCAATTCATCAAAAGGCGTGCCATCAAAAGGCGTGCCATCAAAAGGTGTGTCCAGGTTGGCGTCGAGCGCCGAGCGGCGCATGATGCGCGTGGCTGCGTTGGCTATTTAACCAAGGTTGATGCTGAGGCTGAGGCAGACAAAAAACTTCTGAAAATCCTCTGAAAAAACTCTTCCTTTGCTGAGAGAGGAAACTCTGTAATACTCTGTAACCAACCCGTCTCTGAAACACTCAGCAACATGGCCTCTTCTTCCCGTCCAGCTACCCAGAACATGGCCTCCTCTTCCCGTGGTCTGCTCACGCTCTTTCCAGAACTGAACGAGCCCACAAGAGAAATAACTGGTGCGGTGGCCAGTGAACCTCAACCAAACACCTCTGGTTTTACAAGCGATGAAGTTTGTGTTCTAAGGTTCGATTGCGGGGTGACTTCAAGGTGCGCATTAAGTTAATCTAGACATCTTGTAGGAAACCAAAAAAAAAAACCGAAAGTAATATGAAAATGCATTTCAAAAATATTTTCCCATTTCTTTTGGGTAAAATTAAATTATGAGAAACCCCTAAATGTAAAAGTCAAGATGCGTACGGCCATTCTATGTTGACAAAATAATATAATAAAGAATAATGTTTGGGACCCCCTTTTGGGGTCACCCCCTCACCCCCCTTTGCCACGTGGCAGGGGGTGATTGGTGGAGAAGGAAAAAAAAGAAAAAGAAAAAGAAAAGGTAACCAATAAGAGAGAGAGGGGGTCAAAGGGGGGGGGGAGAAAAAGGGGATGAATCATTACTCATTTTGAAATTAGGCCTGCCAAAATTTCCACCATACTATAGCTACACAACACCTGTCACCTAACAAAAGGTTTCCCACATGGATCGACGTATAAAACCGTTCGCTTTTCCTCCTTTATACACTCTGTGGCCGGCACTCTTCACGCGCCTTTCATCACCGTATACCAAAACAAAAATGATTTAGACTTTTTTTTTTTTTTTTTTTTTTTTTTTTTCCTCTTTTTTTTTTTTTTTTTTTTTTTTTTCTTGAAATTGGTTAGCCCACGGTTTTGTGAAATAAATAAAATAAAAAAATAAATAAAAAATAAAATAAAAGAAAGAAAGTGGAGCAACGTGGGTGAGGTGCAAAAGGTGATGATAACGTTTTGTGGGCGGTGGAAAAAAGTAAAATGAGAGAGTGAGAGAGAATTTTATGGGTAAATAAAAGAAGAGTGGTGTTTGGTCAGACATGGGGTGATCAAAGAGAATAAAAAAAAATAGAGGATGAGGAACATAAGGATATGGGATAAAGACAAGAAAAAGTAAAAAATAAATAAAGAAAAGAAAAAGTAGATCGGTTGAGAATTCATTACTGAATTCAAAGAGAATAAAAAATAAAAGGTTTGTAATTTTTTTTTTTTTTTTTCAAATTCATAGCACAAAGAACAAAGCTTAATGGGTATACAATTATATGTGAAGAGAGAGATTAGGGTCAAGAAACTTTCATGGTGAGAGTGAAAACAAGGACCGATCAAAATTGAATTTTGATTCTTTCCATTTTGGGTTTATATGACTGCTCATATAAAAAAGAAAGTTGGGTGTCCCCCCGAGAGAGAAGAGGATGTTGGGTTTGTCAATGGAGGTTCTGAGTGAGAGAGAGATGCCGAGAGAACGATTCCATCGGCGCAAAGAAGGGTCTGGCCATCGGAGTCCTTGGCTTGGCCTTCCCAGGAGAGAGAGAGGTTGAGCTCGTAGCCGGGGATGATCTTGCCCTTGCGAACGTTGACATGGGCCTCGCCGTCGATCTTGTCGAGGTTCTTGGTCTTGATGAAGAGGTTAGATTCGCCGTCGAGGAGGGTTTGGTTGGAGAGGAGCTTGGTGAGGAGGGTTCGAGACCATTCGAGGCAATCGGTCTCGGCCCAGTGCCAGTTGTGAACGTTTGCTCCGTCGGGTCTGTCTTCCACGATCCACCTCTTGTCTCCTTCACCGTATTTCGCCATTAGAGAGAGAGAGAGAAAGAGAGAGAGATCCAGCAGCTTTGAGTCACAGCGGCTGGAGGAGGTGGAGCTGGGATAAGATGGTGGTTGCGATCGGAGTTGCAGCAGCGGGAATTTTCTAAGTATTGTACAAACAGAGCTTTCCTTCCAGAAGAAGAAAGCTGGGTTGATCTTTTGGAGAGAGATATCGCTGTGTTGATGAGGATTGATTTCACATAACCATCAACAAAGGTTGTGATGGCAGGTATGTGTAGAAAATAAGTGGAATAAGTTGAAGTCCGGCGGGCGGCTAAGGTGAAGTTGCCGCCCGCCGGGGAAGCGAAAATACTAGGTTCTAAACCTGCTCTGATACCATCTAAAAAATGATGTATTATTGATTGATATATGTTGTTGTATATATTACAAATGGTGAGTGGCTCATTATATAGGAGAGGGTGAGTGTAGTAGGTGAGGAGTAGGTGAGGAGTAGGTGGTGGTAGGTGATGGTAAATTGGTGGTAGGTGATGGTAAATTTTAACAATATATTTCAGGCTTGGCGTAGTGCTTCTACTCAAACTACTATCCTTCCCAATTCAGACTAAGCTCACATTATCACTGGTTCACACTGGTATATGTCAAGGAACATTGTCACATGAGCAGCTCAACTGTGCAATACCATGTCTGGTGTTGCTATGACACAGTCAACACCGGTTGCATTCGTGTTCACTTGACCACAATTTTCAACAAATCTTACGACAGCCACATACGGCTTGCATAACGAGTATTTGATCCAATCTGCAGTCAGTATATGTTTTGATCATCAACCAGACCCATAGACACGCCGTTTTAAGCAGGCCTTGTTTTCTGCAGAGTCACAAACATCACATAATATTTTTGTTGGGGAGGCATGTCCATGTGGTACCCCATGTCACATGACCTTCAAGGGACCACAACGCAATAGTCTCTTCATCACACACTCCATTTGAGAATGCTAGACATATAGAATTTGCTCTATATATATTGTATTCCTGCAATCTTGCTCTGCACAAGTCTTAGAGATTAATTACTTGCTAAGATCACTCCTCCAATTAAAAAAACTAAACCTAGAAATCATGGGGATTTCCAGGGGTTCCTCAAGCAAAACAAGTTATCAGAAGAGTTCTTTCTGCTCCAATGGCATGGGGTGTACCCAAAGGCCACCTTGCTATTTATGTTGGAGAAACTGAGCAGAAGCAGTATGTTGTTCTGATATCATATTTGAAGCATCCTTCATTCCAAAGCTTGCTGAGATGGGCTGAAGAATAATTTGGGTATGATCATCCAATGGGAGGTCTTACAATCCCATGTAAAGAAGAGACTTTCATTGACATCACTTGTAGTTTGAATTGCTCATGAGCAAGAAACGAAAAAAGACTCTAACATCATTGACTCAGACTTTCTTGTTTTTGGATTCACACCATTTTGAATTAGAATAGTAGGAGTGTTTCTTGTGAATCAATGTCAATATGTTTTTTTTTGCTGAGAAGTGAATTGGTAGTTCAATCTTCATGATAATTGAATAGCTTCACTTCGCTTTTTAATTGAATTTTGTTAATCAGGCAATGTTTCCATCCAATTGCTAGCTTGTCATCCAGTCCCTGAAATTTATCTATTAGAACACTATTATTACGTTATTACCAGTTGAAATGCCCAGCCCAACCCACACTATTTCAGCCCAACCCACACTTCTCCTTAAAACCCAGGTGTTAAAGAGAGGGAAACTAGAGACTTATAACTAGCACAGATGGGGCAACAGGTATTAAAGAGAGAGAAACTAGAGACTTATAACTAGCACAGATGGGACAACTCCAGACGATGTGGAGAGGGAAACTAGAGCCTTATAACTAGTACAGATGGAGCAACTCCAGACGATGTGGGACACATTCCAACACACCCTCTTGGACCAGGACACACACTAGCTGGACAAATAGCTCACTAGTCACAGGCTCAACCATGCTCTGATACCAAGTTGAAAAGCCCAATCCACATTTCTCCTTAAAACCCAGGTATGAAGGAGAGGGAAACTAGAGCCTTATAACAAGTCTTCCACATTTCAAAGGATTTCCACATACCCTTTAAATCAGACCTACAAGTCTAGTCTGTGACTAACTACAAGTCTTCCACATTTCAAAGGATTTCCACATACCCTTTAAATCAGACCTACAAGTCTAGTCTGTGACTAACTACAAGTCTTCCACATTTCAAAGGATTTCCACATACCCTTTAAATCAGACCTACAAGTCTAGTCTGTGACTAACTACAAGTCTTCCACATTTCAAAGGATTTCCACATACCCTTTAAATCAGACCTACAAGTCTAGTCTGTGACTAACTACAAGTCTTCCACATTTCAAAGGATTTCCACATACCCTTTAAATCAGACCTACAAGTCTAGTCTGTGACTAACTACAAGTCTTCCACATTTCAAAGGATTTCCACATACCCTTTAAATCAGACCTACAAGTCTAGTCTGTGACTAACTACAAGTCTTCCACATTTCAAAGGATTTCCACATACCCTTAAAATTAGACAAAAAAAGACATACATATCTTTTAGAACAATGGATTTTTGAATGCCTCATAATGTTTATTGACTGGCATGACCCATGAAGCTGAATCAGTTTGATTTGCTATTCTTTAGGATTGACTGAATCAGTTTTAGTTGTTGCTATTCTTTAGGATTATGAAGATTTCCTCATACTAATTATTAGGCATTTAGCTGTTATGATCAACATGTAGCAGATTTTTCTGCAAATTCAGTTTTCATTATGCTGTATAAATAAACAGCTTGTTGCTCAATAAAATTTGACATTCTGCAATCTCAAAAATTAGCTTCTTTCATTATCCTTAGTTTTTTGATTTCCTATAAAACCAACAGATTGGTATTAGAGCTGTAATCTTGAGGGACCTGTGAGAGAGTTCAAACACAAATGAATTTAGAAAATTCATTCACTGCAATTGCACCTCCAGTGTTTGACGGAACAAATTATCAGGTGTGGGCTGTTAGAATGGAAGCCTATCTTGATGCTAATGATCTATGGGAAGCTGCTGAACAAGTATATGAAGTTCCACCTCTGCCAAACAATCCAACTCTTGCACAAATCAAAAATCAGAAGGAGAGGAAGCAAAGAAAATCAAAAGCAAGAGCAACCTTGTTTGCAGCAGTCTCATCCAACATTTTTACCAGAATAATGACGCTAAAAACAGCCAAGGAAATTTGGGATTTTTTGAAGCAAGAATACGAAGGAAATGCAAGGATCAAAGGGATGCAAGTGCTGAATTTGATTCGAGAATTTGAGATGCAAAAGATGAAAGAATCAGAAACAATCAAAGAATATTCTGAAAAACTTTATGGCATTGTCAACAAAGTAAGACTCCTTGGTACTGATTTTTCTGATTCTAGAATTGTTCAAAAGATCCTAGTCACAATTCCTGAAAAGTTTGAGGCTACAATTTCATCTCTGGAAAACTCAAAAGATATGTCAAGCATTACCTTGGCAGAATTGTTGAATGCACTGCAGGCACAAGAACAAAGGAGGCTTATGAGGCAAGAAGGATCTGTGGAGTGTGCTTTTCAAGCCAAATCACAGAACAATAATGGTGGCAAAAACAAAAAAGGGCAGAACAAAAACAAGCAGCCTGGAGGTTATGCAAGCAACAACAAACATAGCCAAAGCAGCAACACTTAAGTCTTTCCACCTTGCCCTTACTGCAAAAAAACAAATCATCCACACAGCATAAGTGTTGGTGGAAGCCAGATGCAAGATGTCACAAATGTGATCAGTTAGGGCACATGGAAAGAATATGCAAGACTTAACAGCAACAAGGAGAAGCCAAGGCTGCAGAGGATCAACCTCAAGAAGAGCAGTTGTTTGTGGTATCATGCTTTGCCACCAACAGCTCCACAGAAAGCTGGCTTATAGATAGTGGTTGTACAAACCACATGACTTATGATCGAGAGCGTTTCAGAGAGCTTGACAAGACCGCTATTTCTAAAGTCAGAATTGGAAATGGAGCACATATTGCAGTAAAAGGCAAAGGAACAGTAGCTATTGAAGGCTGCGCAGGTTTGAAATTAATTTCTGATGTTTTATATGTTCCTGAAATTAATCAAAATCTTTTGAGTGTTACTCAGTTGTTGGAAAAAGGCTATAAGGTGCTGTTTGAAGACAAAAACTGTGTGATTAAAGACACAAAAGGCATAGAGGTGTTCAAAGTTCAAATGAAAGGCAAAAGCTTTGCATTGGACTTGATGAAAGAGGAGTAGGCTGCTGTACATAAAGATGATAGCAATACAGTACTTTGGCACAAGAGATTGGGGCATTTCCATCATGCCGCTCTACTTTTCATGAAGAAGAACAATCTAGTGAAAGGCTTGCCTGAATTAGAGGAGGAACCTCTTAAATGTGCTGCCTGTCAATATGGGAAGCAAACCAGGCTTCCTTTTCCACAAAACAAGGCCTGGAGGGCTACACAACGGCTGCAATTAATACACACAGATGTGGGAGGACCAAAGAAAACACCATCATTGAATGGCAGTAAGTATTATATTGCTTTCATTGATGATCACTCAAGAATGTGCTGGATTTATTTTATGAAGCTTAAATCTGAGGTTGCTGACATCTTCTAGAAGTTTAAAGCTTGGGTTGAAACTCAAAACGGATGCAAAATGCAGGTGATCAGGTCTGATAATGGAACTGAATATACCTCTGGAAAATTTAACAAGTTTTGTGAAGATGCAGGCATCGAACATCAGTTGACAGCACCTTACACTCCTCAACAGAATGGCATTGTGGAGAGGAAAAACCGGACAATTATGGAGATGACAAGGTGCTTGCTTCATGACAAAGGGCTGCCAAAGAAATTTTGGGCCGAGGCTGTAAATACAGCAGTTTTTCTGCTAAACAGATTGCCAACAAAAGCTTTGCAGAAAAAGACTCCTTTTGAAGCATGGTCTGGCTACAAACCTAAGTTGCTTAATTTGAAGACATTTGGTTGCCTATGTTTCTCTTATATCCCTCAAGTTAAGAGAGACAAGTTGGACAAGAAAGCAGAATCTGGGATTTTTGTAGGCTATAGCTCAATTTCAAAGGCCTACAGGATCTACTTACCACAAAGCAACAAAGTAATTGTCAGCAGGGATGTTCAGTTTTTTGAGTTAGATAACTGGAGTTGGGAGAATGACAAGAAACTTGAGATTCAGGAGGAGAATGATGATGTGGATGATGAACCTGTTAGAGGAACCAAATCACTCTCTGACATTTATCAGAGGTGTAATGTTGCGGTAATGGAGCCTGCAGGGTATGAAGAAGCTGCAACTGATCAGAAGTGGATAGCTGCAATGAAGGAGGAGCTAAAGATGATTGAAAAGAACCAGACATGGGAGTTAGTAGACAGACCTAAACACAAGAAAGCTATAGGAGTCAAGTGGGTTTACAGAACCAAGCTCAATCCTGATGGTTCTGTAAACAAGCACAAGGCAAGACTTGTTGTCAAGGGATATGCCCAGATGTTTGGGGTAGATTTTTCTGAAACTTTTGCTCCAGTTGCAAGGTTGGATACCATAAGGATGTTGCTGGCTCTTGCTGCACAAAAAGGCTGGGTCATACACCAAATGGATGTCAAGTCAGCTTTTTTGAATGGATACTTGGAGGAAGAAATTTTTGTGGAGCAACCTGAAGGGTTTGCTTTTCAAGGACAAGAGGAGAAGGTATGTCGACTGAAAAAAGCCCTGTATGGTTTAAAACAGGCACCAAGGTCCTGGTATAGCAGAATTGATGCACACTTAGTGAACTTAGGCTTTGAAAAAAGTCTGAGTGAATCTACTTTATATATCAAGAAGGCTGATGATGAAATACTTGTAGTATCTCTGTATGTTGATGATCTACTTGTTACAGGAAGTAGTAAGGACTTGATTGACAAGTTTAAAGAAGAAAATAGGTGTTAGTGGAATCCAGATCCAAGATGTCACAAGTGTGGTCAGTTAGGGCACATGGAAAGAATATAAGGGATCTGATGGGAAATATTTTTGAAGAATCAATCCCTTATAATAGCAAAAAGCTATTATAAGGGATCTGATAGAGATGCTCTTACAGCACACAATTTTTTTTACCCAGCTACTGGCTGAATTTTGAAATATACTATTACACACTCATTTTGTATCCTCAGAGTCTGTTTAAATTCAAGCCTCGTTTAGCATGCAACACTCTTACTTTAAAAGTTAAAAAGTTACTAAGTAGTTGTTTGGGATGTGTTATATAAGTGCACTTTTTAACTTTTTAGTTAAAAAAGTAGAAGAAAAAAGATGTATGTTTGGAATAATTTTTTGACTTTTTACGAAAAGATGTGTAATAAAATATTGTAGTAAAATCAAAATGACCATTTTACCCTTTTAACTTATTAACTTTTGACTTTTTGACTTTTTGAGTAGTTGAATTCAAAGGGCAAAATAATAATTTTGCCTTGGTGACTTCCCCCATAAGCTACCCTTAAATAGTATAGATTTTTTAGCTTTTTTAGTAAATTTTTAATTTTTTTGACTTTTTATCCCAAACAACGCCTCCATGGCTTGGTTTAGGAAGTGGATTGGTTTTTTGGCTTTATGGCTATTTTAACCTAGGACTAAAAATCTTGATTTGGGAAGGGCTTTTGACTTTTTTGACTTTTTTGTGAGAGAAAAAATATAATGATTATAGGTTGGACGTAATGTTTTTGTCTTATTGGAGCTAAAAATCTTATTTTATTTTTTGTGACTATTTTAGCCACAAACCCACTTCCCAAACAATGGCCATGTATACTTTGAATCTACTAACCTATAATATTACAATAATTCTAGATACCATAACATTTCATTAGAATTTTACTATATAGAGTGAATGTGGTGTAAATTCTAGTGCGTCATGGATTATATTTAAAATAGTTTTATTGTGAATATATAAATCAATTACAAAACTAAACACATAATATATATAAATAGATAAGATTTTGCAAAAATTGTTAGTTGAGTTTTTTTAAAAAAAATCTTAATCATTCATGTACATTCTATGTTGTTGACTAGCATGACCCATGAAGCTGAATCAGTTTTATTTGTTACTATTCTTTAGGATTACTAAATTAGTTTTATTTGTTAGGATTATGACCATTTCTTCATGCTATTTTTTAGGCATTTGTTATGCTTAACATAGTAGATTTTTCTGTAATTCAATTTTCATTATGCTGTATAGATAGAAAGTTTGTTGCTCAATAAAATTAGTCTTCTGCAGTCACAAAATTAGCTTCTCTCATTATCCTTAGTATTTGGTTTCCTAAATATCCATCAAATTGGTATCAGATCTGTTAATCTTGAGGAGCCTGTGAGAGAGCTCAAACACAATTTCTATACACTTGTCACCTATCACTCCAAAAACCTATTCAGAATGAATTCAGAAAATTCATTCACTGCAATTACACCTCCAGTGTTTGATGGAAGAAATTATCAGGTATGGGCTGTTAGAATGGAAGCCAATCTTGATGCTAATGATCTATGGGAAGCTGCTGAACAAGTATATGAAGTTCCACCTCTGCCAGACAACCCAACTCTTGCACAAATCAAAAATTAGAAGGAGATGAAGCAAAGAAAATCAAAAGCAAGAGCAACCTTGTTTGCAGCAGTCTCATCCACCATTTTTACCAGAATGATGACGCTAAAAACAACCAAGGAAATTTGGGATTTTTTGAAGCAAGAATACGAAGGAAATGCAAGGATCAAAGGGATGCAAGTGCTAAATTTGATTCGAGAATTTGAGATGCAAAAGATGAAAAAATTAGAAACAATCAAGGAATATTCTGAAAGACTTTTTGGCATTGTCAACAAGGTAAGACTCCTTGGTACTGATTTTCTAATTCTAGAATTGTTCAAAAGAACCTAGTCATAATTCCTAAAAAGTTTGAGGCTACAATTTCATCTTTGGAAAACTCAAAAGATATGTCAAGCATTACCTTAGCAGAATTGTTGAACACACTGCAGGCACAAGAACAAAGGAGGCTTCTAAGGCAAAAAAGATCTGTGGAGGGTGCTTTTCAAGCCAAATCACATAACAACAATGGTGTCAAAAACAAAAAAGGCAAAACAAAAACAACAAACTTGGAGGTTATGCAAGCAATAACAAAAATAGCCAAAGTAGCAACACTCAAGTCTTACCACTTTGCCCCTACTGCAAAAAAAAACAATCATGCACAGAATAGGTGTTAGTGGAATCCAGATCCAAGATGTCACAAGTGTGGTCAGTTAGGGCACATGGAAAGAATATGCAAGACTCAACAGCAACAAGGAGAAGCCAAGGCTGCAGAGGATCAACCTCAAGAGGAGTAGTTGTTTTCTAGTATCATGCTCTGCCACCAACAGCTCCATAGAAAGCTGGCTTATAGATAGTGGTTGTACAAATCACATGACTTATAATCGAGAGCTCTTCAAAGAGCTTGAGAAGATTGTTATTTCTAAAGTCAGAATTGGAAATGGAGTACACATTGCAGTAAAAGGCAAAGGAACGGTAGCAATTGAAGGCCACATGGGTTTGAAATTAATTTCTGATGTTTTATATGTTTCTGAAATTAATCAAAACCTTTTGAGTGTTACTCAGTTGTTAGAAAAAGGCTATAAGGTGTTGTTTGAAGACAAAAATTATGTGATTAAAGATTCAAAAGGCATAGAGGTGTTCAAAGTTCAAATGAAAGGCAAAAACTTTGCCT